TGACCCATATACAACAATTTTACTCGGTCTCTAACACTATCACCACCAATACTCTTCTATCATTCTCTCTATCGGCAAATCCCACACAACATGATTTTTTACACCTCAATATCTCTCCCCACTCTTTCACTTCTGACACCTCTTTAGATACTACACAAGAAAAATGGTTTATCAGTCTCACCAACACGCACATTCCCACTCACGTTCAACTTCTCCTTCAACTCAGCGAGTTTTAACATGCCTACTATATCTCACAATAGGGAAAACCTAGTTATAGATTTCATTAAACAGATTGAAAACAATATTAATAAATTAGACCACTCAATTCGTCAAACCGTCAGGAACCAGACCACTCTTATTGTTAATAGACTGGCTAAAACTTTTCCTAAAAAATGTAACGAGGATGACACCCTAGCTTCTTGGCTTAGAACCACTAAACAATTCTCCGCTGAACATCCTGAGATATTCTTCACTAGAGCGGACAAGGGTAACATCACAGTCGCGATGTCTAGCGGTGATTACACTATGAAGATGGAGGAGATGCTTCGCGACCGGAATACGTACACGATAGTTAACAAGCATCCAACCAGAAAGATGACCAACGATTTACGGGATCTGTTAACTAGATGGAAGAAAAATAATTACATCTCGGAGGGAGTCTATAGGCACTTATTAACTACAGATGGTTCTTTGCCAAGAGCGTACGGTCTACCGAAGGTTCACAAACATGGTTATCCCCTTAGAGTGATTGTTTCATCGATTAACAGTCCTTTGTATGACTTAGCCTTTTTTACACAAAATTTTACAAAAAAACATCACACTTTCATTAAGCCACATACAAAATAGTTTTCAATTGGTGAAAGGGTTAGCCGACATCAAGTTAGATGCAAGTTTTCAATTGTTATCACTTGATGTGGTTTCCTTATTTACCAATATTCCACTTGATTTGGCTTCCAACAGCATGAGGAAAAGATGGAACTCTATCTCTGGGGGTACGGCCATTTTTCTTGATGAATTCATGATAGGCGTCAATCTCGTTTTAAACTCTACTTTTTTTAAATTTAATCACCATATTTATAAACAGATCTTCGGTACTCCTATGGGCTCCCCGCTCTCTCCGATAATTGCAGACATGGTTCTTGATGACATAGAAAATTTAGCCATCCAAGCTCTACCTTTCACTCCTCCTTTTTATTTTCGATATGTCGATGACATTCTTATGACGTCTCCTCCTGAATACATTGACAATCTTTTAAGCACTTTCAACTCCTTACATGGCAGACTAAGGTTTACCCTAGATATTCCACAGATAACCGAATCAGTTTTCTTGATGTTGATATCATGGTCCGTGATGGTTCCTTTGTTTTCTATTGGTACCACAAACCCTCCTTTTCTGGACGCTACCTTAATTTCCACTCACATCATCCCATCTGCCATAAAAAAGGCGTGGTTTTTGGACTTGTTGATAAGATTTTCAGAATATCAGATCCACAATTCCATGATAGTAATCTCAGGTTGATCATTAAATTCCTACAAAACAATTGCTATCCTCTCACTTTTATTTTTTCCACCATTGTTACAGCTTTCTGTCAACGTAATACGTCTAATTTATTTGCGTTTACTTATACAACTTGCGTTGGTTTATATTATACATTTTATTCGGTTTGACTGCGCTATCGTCTAATATTTATGTCCCTTTATTTATTATAATTTTATTCAATCGACTGCGTATACGTTTTTTAAAGTTTATATTAATACTATGAGCTCATTTATGGATTGATTATTGTTGTATTCTCTTCGATATACTGAGAATGGTCCGTTAAGGACCGAAACGTCTATTATATATATATATATATATATATATATATATATAATTAAATATTAATTGAATACAAACATCTTGTTCTGGCTCTGAGCCCCTTATTTTTTTATTTTAACAAAATTAACTTAATGATTCAATATGGGTTATTAATTGTATATGCATAACTCAACAGTTCTCTGATATATTTTATTCATAATAATATTGTTACGCCGCTTCCGCACCGCAGCAGCGCACTAGCCTTGCTCACACGCACAGGTACAACACGACTCACACGCGCACTGCCGCGTTGAAAGAAAGCACAAGGAATTCTGAGCGAAACGATATTCTTTATTAAACCGTAAAACGACCGCTTAGCTCGAAAGCCAAACTTTGAATTCAAAACAACAGTCCGTTATATCAATAGCAGTCCAATTGAAATCCGCGGGTTGCCACAATACCGGGCGTCGCGACCTTATTTAAATATTTATCCGTGTAGAAGAAGTCCCTTATTATGAGATAAGAATCTAATATGAGATAGCAGGGTTCATACTAAATTAATAAACATCATTCATTGGTTCTATGAAATTTTCTTTGCTCTTGGAATGAAATTTGTTTAATGGTAATTTCAGTTAGATCGTGCAATTGTTGCGAAAGATTTGAATTTGGATGTTGAAAACCTGCTATCTCATATTAGACTTCTATCTCATAATAGAGGACTTACCTCTACATATTAGGCTGGTGGTAAATACGCAGGCATTTGGCAAATACGCGATGTGTCTTGTATTCATTAAGAACTAAAAATAAAATTTCCGCACAAACGGAGCAAAGTTACCATCACGGAAAACTTCATGTTTCTCTCGTTTAGAGAGAAGTTGTTTAATATAAAAATTGATGGAGAAATCTTTTACACTAGTTTGATAGGTGTATTAATAATTTAACTAACAATAAGGGGGAAAGCGGGAAATGACAGCATCAGATAACAGCAGTCTAATGGATTTGGAATAATAATTTTGTTAATTCAATTTATTCAATATCAGTCATACAAATAGTATTAATGAAATAAATGTGCCATGCTCTTGTTTGAATAAAATGTTATTTGTTTGATTAATAATATTATTAAAATAATAAGATTAGTATTCAATTACACTGCTGTTATAATAGTTAGTGCTACATTTTGTTTCTAGCAAAGGAATAGGAATTACCAGTTTGGAAATAAAACTTGCAGCTCGTTTATTTAAATAACGTTTATTCACATCATAAATAAGTAAAAGCAGACATTATGTAAATAGAAAATTTGCATATTATCTCTTATATGCTTGTTCAGTATCATACATTTATACGTGTATGTATGGTATACATATGTATACACACTGATCATAAGGCACACTTAATATTTGTCATATGTATACAATTTGTACATAAAATTACATATTAGAAAATATTTGCACATATTAAAAAATATATAATCGGTTAAGAAATCATTTTATTAAAATCATAGATAATGCTTTGTTAAATATTTGTTAAAACCGCAATAACGAAAGGCTCAAAATATTTCTGATTCAACAAAGTATATTTCCTGTTAAAAAGATTTCAGTCGTTATATTTAATATTGATTGTCATTGCAATAATAAATACGTTGTGAATATGATCACATTATATATACTATATACATTTTAGAAGAAAGACGACTTTCTTTAAAATAATAATTTAAAATAAAACTTATGTCTCTCTCCCTCTCTCTCTCTCTCTCTCTCTCTCTCTCTCTCTCTCTCTCTCTCTCTCCCTCTCTCTCTCTTGATAAAATTTGCTAATATTTATTGTACTGTTGGTTTTGTTGAATGTGTCATGTATTCAGTAAACTTGCAGACAATTGTGTGACATAAATTAATGAATGATTATAATTACGATCATGATTGCACTTGCAAACAGACACATACTTACATTGCATTCGTTTATGTCTATGCTATCACAATGGATAACTATCTATCTTTGTACAGAAATTAATTTTAACGACTAGTATTGCACTATAGACTGTAACAATTTGCGAGGATCATGCATAGCTTAACATCCACGCTAAAACATTTCTCTCTCTTGTATTATTAATAGTAATATTTTGCTATATATATATTTTTCTAAATATTGCATTGTAGAAAATAATCTGGCATATAAATGATCATCTTCAGGCTTATTTAAGGCTTATAAAAAAGTACTTCAATGGTAATTAATTAGTAGCAAAGTCTTGACTGATTTTACCATGTTAATAAACAATTACACTTATTTAATGATACGATACAGCCAATCGTTTCAGTGACTTCAAATGAGATACTATCCCAGATAATCACATCTTCATTCCCATGGATAATACTGAAGCGCTTAAGTGGCTGCTTTCCCAATGTATTATTTAGTTTTCTGCAATGAAAGGCTACCTCTCCACGGAAATACGCGACGTCCCTGGTAACATATTATATTTAACAACGCTGATACTATTGCAAAGATATTGTTTAACTTACTATTTTTTAAAATAAAATACATAGTAGATATATGTGTGTGTATAGATAATTTGTTTGAATAAGTTTTTAAAAACGAATATTGATATTTGAAAAAAAAACAAAATTTACTTTTAATAGTTAAATGGTCAAGATATATAGTCAAATAGGAGGGAAATAAGGGAAGCTTATAGTCGGCAAAGGCTTCAGAACATAACACTTAAGGTCAGCCTAATACCAGTCTAAAATTAAATATGAATACTAGCATTAAACAGCTGATCCTCTAAAAATAGATTTTATGTATTTAAGTGTACCAGACATGGTTAATTATATTCAGTCTGTGGTCATCGAGTTTATAAACTGCTGCATCTATTTCCGAAACTCTAAATATCGTCGACACACAGCAGCTTATTGAAAAAGTTAAGAAACGGTATTTGCCTTAGTTACCGTTTGCCACGAATATTCGCTGCCGTCATCACTGCAACTGATAATTTGCGGAGGCTCCTCGTTTTTACGAAGGATCTTCACTGGCCTGTACGTAACGTTATACATCATCCATAAACAATCAGGTGTTAAGCAAGTAACGATGATAAATAGAGTGAGTAACCAGAACGTGGGCGATTCTAATAATTTTTGAAAGACCCCGTACATATCGCCATCGTATTTCCTGAAAAATTTTGTGGGTGAAAATAATTTTTGCTTGTAAATATAAATGCGTTATTCTTGATTCCCACAATTTTTTAATCGTTCCAGATTTTGTACTTACAGATTTATGATTGAATAGCAAAAACTGCTTATGAAAAATACTACTTCAGACAGCACTACGCTTAGAACGAGTGGGATTGTCCAGTATAAACTGCGTAATAGTATCTAAAACAATATTATATCATCAACAATGAATAAATCAACTTAAAGCATGTAAACTTATTATGTAAAATATTTGCTAGTGATAACTTATCGTGTTATTATTAAATTATATGAATAAATTCGGATATAAATTTTCTGAATAAAACTAGCAAAAGGTTTGAACTATTCGTCTATTTAAAGTATTTAAAAGGTATTGAATTTTTAATACTTGGTTGTCTTGTCAGAAGTTTGTCTTGTGTTTCTCAGAATAAACCGCTGTTTTACAATCTTAATCGAATGTACAAACAGTATGACGTACCTGCAGATTTGCTAGCAAAGTGACTATATGAAAAATGCATGTGCTGTAAGTCCAATGGTCAACCGCCGTGTTATCGGACAGATATGTAGGATTGATATACGTAACAGCAAATACGGTAAAATACGTCACGCATGCATGCCATAATCCTAAAAGAGAATAATATAATGTAATCGGTACATCTCTGTCGCGAAATATTAATAATTAATTAATATAATATTAATTTGTACACGAACCTAGAATCATCCACGCTACGAATTGATGTCTTGACATCAAATAATTGTTTCTATTCAGTTTATACAAATATGGATTCTTCATGAGTTTCGTCGCATCGTAATTCTGTTCCAATAATCCGTATATCAATACCGGAAGCGACGTGAATACTAAGTTGAAACTCATTAGAAACATACCATCGTAAAGTTCCTGTGAAAAAAAGATTTCTATACATCCTTTACTCATAAAATCTATACAATCGTAAGATATGTTCTCTTTTATATTTTTTTATAAAACTAAGAATGCTTTTCTAGTTTATGATGTAACATTGCCAAATTATTAGACATTTAAATTTATTTACAAGACACACAAAAATTAAAAGATAAATCTGTAAGTATATCAATTTGTGAATTGAAAAAACAACGCACTTACGTGTCGCAAGAGCAAGGTCGGGATTTTCAATGTGCGATAGAAAAATAGATAGTAATGTTATCTTTACCTGCGTGGAGAAACCATTATGTATGCTGAACAACACCTGCGGCGTTATGAATACCACGTTCTTGTAGAAGAAAAACTGCATCAAGATGCTGATGCGCAGGTAATACCAGTGTCCGTGCACCAGCAATGCTTTTCTCAGATACTTGAACTTGGTGAAGGCGAAGTCGGCGGACATCGATGCTTGGCGGCCCTCCTTCCCGAGTATTCCGATACCCACGTGTGCTTCCTGTATCATCGAGACGTCGTTACCACCGTCACCGATGGCTGCGGTATGCGGACGGTTTCGTGCCGTTTTTATCAGATGCACAATCTGCAAGAGTAAGCAGAGATAAACTAAAATGCTTTGCTCACGTTTCTGTACAGCAGTTTGGGATCCACGGAAAGTTCAAACCTCGCTCTTTTGCAAGGGCGTCAGCCTGCAACAGACAACCGCTTCACAGGTCATTCCGACGGATTTAAATAATTGTGGACAATTTCGTAACGTCGCCGCTATACTGACACCGTCTATTATCAATCCGTACTGCTTGTATGGTTCCAATTTTACTTTTCGTCTGTAAAACATAGTTTACTGTATATATAAATGCGTACTGGAGAGCGAAAAATAGGGACGCAATAATTTATACACTTATTTATTTGTTACTTTGATCAATTTTTAGTTCAATGTATCAAATGAGAAGCGCGACTTACTGCGCGAGAAATAGTAGAGATTATCGATAGTGACGACCGAAAATAGAAAAAAATGTAAAATTTTGGTCGTGCAAATTGCACTCACTCGAAAGTTGTAAGAATCAGGAAGCAAGTTTGCCCTGAAGTCTCATCCATCAGTCTTAGAACTTCAGTACCTTTCTTGAAATGACCGCACAAGAAAGCGATATTCTCCGCAGTCTCTGCCTTATCTCCAGTAAGCACCCATATCTAAAAGTATATTTGCGATTATCTTTTAGAGTTATATCAATTAATCATTCCATAAATAATACGGTATAAAAGGAACTTAATTGAGCTTTAGCTCAAAACCAAAACACTTGTATGTTGTATAATAATGGAAGATATATTTTAACTTAAAAGTAAAATGTCCTAATATTTTGTTTTATTTAAAAAATACCTCTAAAAACCGTATTACTTATAGGATGACTCAATAATTAAATAACAATATTGAAATAAAATAATTAAATTAATTATCTGAAAAGTTATAAGAAGAATAAATATGTAGCTTAAAACATCGATGAAACCATGGCGGAAGCTATAGTTGGAGGTAGACGACGTGAATAGTAAAGGATTTCTTTTGGCAATTCGCACAAAGGCAGTGCATTGAACTAACTTTGATGCCAGCGACTCGCAAGCATTCCAAGGTCTCTTGCACCTGGTCCTGCAGGCGATCCTCTACCGCAGTTACTCCGAGTAAGGTGAGCCCACTCTCCATAAGGTTGTACGCGTACGTTATACGAGTCTCTCTCTCCGTACCGATTATCTGTCTGGCCTGCTCGATGTTCTGCATCAGGCTCTCGTACTCGGGATACCGCATCTTTTTGTATGCCACCACCAGCGTTCGCAGACCTCTCTGAAAATTAAGGGAGCTGTAGTGTAAGACACAAAATTGCGGCAAGCAGTATAACAAAGCCGTATTAAAATTGCGATTTTTTTATGCATGTATAAGAAAACCCTTCTCGAAATGGTCGCGGAGGAAACGTCCTCTGCAGACTCCGCGTTAACTCTATATAGTTTTAGTTCTGCACATTATCCCAAACGGGACAACGAACCATAGAGAAATCGGCGACGTGGACAGCGGCCTCTTGCACCTTTCCTTCAACTATCAATGGCAGAACAGCGGAATCCGCACCCTTGCAGTACAGCCAGATATCCCCCGATGAGTCTTTGACTATTACTGACATCCTCTTGCGTTCTATTTGAAATACGTAATATTCAGCGCCATTTTATCGCTATTACAACTCGGGCTAAAATCTCAAGATCTATTTGAATAATTTAAATATTTTATTTGCACAAGCCATAATCTCTCATTTTAATTACAAATGTATTTATGAATGATATTGATTTTTAGTAATAATGACTTGATCTCAATTAGAAATTAATTACGATTTGATCTGGTATTCACGATTACGTACCAGAGCTGAACTCCAATATTTCCAGCTTCTCAAAGACCAGATTGCTCTCGTTGATCTTTATGTACATCTCCTCGTTAGTATTCTTTTGTAAAACGACGCCGCACCTGGCACTCGCTTCCACCAACGCCTTCTCGTCTGCCGACGCCGCCTGCCATATGTCACGTGTGTTTATATATCTCTTTATGAGAATTAAAGCGCATTCGTTTACGCGTCATCGTAGACGGGAGTAATCAATGAGATTTTATCGGGGGACGCGCTACCGTAAATTCGCGTACGCGAGCTGTTATTTTTACCTGATACTCCGGCAAGTCCGGATGCATCATCAACGAGCTGTTGACTCTCGTGATTGTCTTCAATCTGAAGCTCTCACGGAACAGAGTGCGTCTAGCTATGATCTCGGGACGTTGGCTCGGCGGCGCGATTTGGACCATATGGCATAACGATATGCTCATCATAAAGTGCCAAATTTCACCCTAGAATCACGAGTAGAATCACGGAATCTTTTAATATAACAGTATTAAAATCATTGCTTTTGACAAGCACAATATGATTAGCTGTGTACGTTCATGATTTGTAGTAATATACCCTTGTTGATTATATTATTATTTCATTATTAATTGTGATTAGCGTTAATTATCATGAATAATTCAATATTCGTAAATTGCCACTAAATAATAGCGCAAATTAATGTAATTACTCTTGCATAAAATTGCGTAGCATACAATGATCGATATAATTTCTCGTATCAATTGCAGCGCACAAATTATCCTTTCGATAATAATATCATAATTCTCTCTCTCTTTCCCAATAATGTCTTTAAGGATAATCAATATTTCCTCTTCTTCATTTACCTCCCACGACGACAGTTTGACGGCCTCCTCCTCCTTTCCGCTTGGTGGCAATACGTACAGACTTCCGTCGCAATTTTTCTCCATGTACATGTTGCCGTCGATCGAGCAGCGCCTGAACACCATCAGATTTTCAGTGAGCGTGCCGGTCTTGTCGGTGAACAAATACTCGACCTGGCCAAGCTCTTCGTTCAAGTCTGACGTATTGGCGAGCGCCGGCTGATCGTTACTCTTGTCGTACATATCCAAGTCCCAGCCGAAGAAAACGGAGCCGAGAAACTTTTGCAATTCTGTTGAAACGCACTGATAAACTTTCACCGATGTCGTAGAGTCCTTTTACGAGTAAATATACGTACACGGAAAAAAGAACGATGTTGTATCAACAAGACCAGTGTAATTGAAATGAAATCGTTGAAGCAACATCAGTATTAATAAATGAAAAACATCAGATTGTGGTCTTAATAATCTGGATATTTAGTTCAATGCTTAAAATTTAAATCCATAGCAAATACAGTTGAGTGAATTATTTATGTTTGTGGCAGCCCGTGACGTTAACGTTTAATGCAAGCAACTTTATTTTGCTTAATTCAACAGCATTTTTTTCCCCGTGTGCTCTACAAACGCGGAGTGTTTCAGAAGAAATTTGCCAATTTAAATACTTTTTAATGTTTCACAAATAGCTTCTCGTGTCGAGTAGAAGTACAAATAATTTTAACGGAAAGAAACTGTGCAAGTAGGAGTGTCTTACCAACGGTGACGTACAATGATATCGGCACGATGTAATTGAATAAGATAAGAAAGCTCAGAATATCGTTAATTAGCGAGGAAAACGTGATATTAGGCTGCTGGCCTAGGTAACTCTCCCATCCTTGGTAGGTTTCTTCGTACAGCTTGAGCATTGTACACACCAACACTTCAGCCAGTAGTATCACGACGTATACAATAAGATACTTATTGATAGATCTACGAATGATAATGGTTGGATGAGTGTGAAGTTAAACTGTAGATTAGATAGAAATATTTCTCTAATGCCCGTTTTTACCAACGCAGTTTAACTTAATCTCGGTTCAACTTGCTTCATATCCGTTTCTAGTTTTACGAAGTGGAAGAAGATAAGAAGTAATGTAAACCGAGATTAAAGTTAATTTGCATTGGAAGAAACGGGCCTAAGTTAGCAATATTCGCAAAGGCGACGGTGGCAGTAACGAGGATGCGAGTGGAAGATTTAGCAGGAGCTAAATAGCGATGTCGATCGAATTTCCTATAAAATAAAGCCCGAACGTAATTACCTCTCGGCGGTGGAGAATTTATTGCTGACTGTCTTTGAATTGAGCGATAATTTAGTGTCCTGCCCGGTGTAAATCGCGCAGCCGACCACGTACTCGGTGTCTTTCAGCCTAGATCCGCGCAGCATAAGATTCTCTATTGACAAATGCCCGCTGGTCGTCTCGCCGTCGTTAACCTCGAGTTTGCCGTGGAAGGTGTAAAGATTCGCCAAGGGTTGCTGGCACGTAATCGACGCTCGCATCGCCACGATATGTGGAAGCGGCATCGTCGAGACCACCTTCGGGACATGTAGCGTCTACAATTATACATTTAGAGTTATGGTAAATAGCTTACAGTAAAGAGTATCTTTAGAGAGTATAGAAAAATAGATTTTGCTATAAAAAAAACCTTTAAGTTTGTTTCGCCGTCGAGATTGGACGTTGTGACATAACAACATCCCGGTGTCTCGCTATAAAGAAGGACGATATCGCAGGGCACATCCTCGTCTCGAGAGACCTTCACAAGATCGCCCACCATTATTTGCTCGCAATATATGTCCTGCAACGTATCGCATATTATTTATGAGTACTTGATCCGATGATTCTCGACTGTCAGAAATGATCCTATCTTTATTTCAACTTCCAAGTCAAAGTAAGCATTGAAAACTCTTACAGAACAAAACACATAAGCTGCAAAAATACATTTTATGAATGTATATTAAAAGTTTTACGACATGTAAATACTGTTCATATATTTTGCGTTTTTGTTTCACTATTACAGGCATTAAAATTTACAGAATTTAAAACAACGAACCTGCGTACATTTATTGCGGATGACACTGACTAATCTCCGATTATCTCGTTTATCCGTTTTATAGCGTAGATAATCTTCGTATCCCTGTTTACATGCTGTTACCAAGATGACAAACGCTAGTGGTAAGGCGCTGGTTATAGGCGAAATTGGCGATTCTATTGCAACGGCGATTATCGTCGTGAGCAGGAAATAAAAATTTGCCACACGTCGGAATTGCTCGAAGAAATTTTTTGGAATGAAGTTCCATATCGTATACTGCAGAACAGACAGACGTAAATGCGATTATCGTCTATCTATGATATTTTTAAGTGAGAGCTCTAGGAAACACGATAGTCATTTCGAGATTTCAAGCTAAATGTCGTCAGTTTACTTACGTTATTTGAACTTGTATTTTTAAATATTAAGTCTTTCAAATTTTATGAGATATAGAAGAAACGAGGAATATACCTTGTGCGATATGACTCGATTGCTAACAAAATGTTTGTCCTGTAGACTCTTTTCAGAATTAATCTTCACGACTCGGTGGTCGCTAGGTACCGAGGATGTCGTACCCTGTAAACGAAAGTGTTTTAGCTAAATTTGAGCGATGTTGAAATTGAAAATTTTATGAAATTTTTAGATACTTGTTGGACTGGAATATTAATCAATTCTTATCTATTTTATCAATTCTTATCTATTTTATATCATTTTAATTTAAAACTAGATTACATTGCTACTAGATTACATTAAATTAAAGTCTATCGTCAAACTGGGTAAGCAAAATTGTCGAGATAAAATTATATATTTTAAATAATAACTTTTTTCAATAATTCGAAGAAAAGCAACTACTATGCATTATTGAAACTGCAGTTTACGTATAAGACGCTTCCGAGGAATTTAGTAAGAGGGACGTGAATTTCGTTTCAAGTCTCTGAGTTCTTATTTCTTATCTCACCCGAAACGAAGATCAGTCGCGAATCTAGCTGCTACAGCCATAATGTAGAAAGGTTAATTGGAAGTCACACGATGACATAAAGTAATATCGTGCATAAAATTATTTGTTCGTTCAATTTGCGAATTTTCAAAATTTCTTGGTCCTCGTCTGTGTCGCGGCGACAAATGGGGCGATGTACGCAAAAGCGCAATGTTATCGGAGCGCCCAAACCGCCGTGTCGTGTTTATACCGACAATTCGTACACTGTCTTCGCCCAAGTTGGAAAAATCCTAAGTGTCGACCGATTACCAAGCAATTTTATAAAAATCATCCAACACGCCGCGAACATGACGGCGACAATGGCGATAGGAAGGACAATGTCCTTAACATGATCAACAACCAGTACTTGGATCACATGTACAAGGCGTGGCTCAAGGACCGAAAGTCCGTGAGCTCCTCGTGGGACTCATATTTTAAATTGATCCACGCGAAAAGCCCTAAGAACTCTCGCGCCAGGTCCAGCTCTATCCGTGTCAGTTCATCTCCTAAGTTAATAACATCGAGCTTAGAAGGAGGGCAATCCGGCAAGAGTGAGTTGCAGCTATTTTATAGATTGATATGATTGATATTAAACTCGCATTATTGATCTCAATTATAATTTATATAATTTAGAATAGTGAATTAATTTTATTACGTGTTGAATAGAAATTATGAAAGTTTAAAACTGTACCGTGATTTGACAATCATTCTGTATTGTTTTACGTAAAATACTACAACGATGTTTTTTTTATATCCTTAGTAATTATAAATGCATTTTATTGATCGATTAAAAATATTACTGATCATGTTTTCGAATAAATGCTTACATCAGGACCATTGTTTCCGAAAGAATCCGTTCGAGAGAAATCAGACAGTCAGATGCAGGGGGATCAATATATAATCGGTGCACTCGATATCAATGCAACGATCCGAGCCTATCAAGTACCTATTTTACCGCAAGACTCTTGAATTACACCTTCTATACCGACATTTATTCCTTTTATTCGTTTAAAAGGCACGTGGCCATTTGATAGCCGATACCGATCCGTTGGGTATACAGAATCCGGAGTCGGCGAAGCTGCAAGGTACCGCAAACCTGCCACCCGCGATCGTGGTGCGGCAGCACCTCAAAGGGATGACGGAGGCAGACATGAACAGGGAATTCCCTCTCGCGTCCTTGACCGTTATCGGGGGCGATAAGAGGAGTTTGCCGCTAAGGGAGATACTGACGAGACTCAACAAGATTTACTGCGGCCACTTAGGCCTCGAGTATACGTACATTCATGACCCCAATATGGTACGTACGACGCAATGCCAATTAAGAAAAATGATGCACTTGAAAATGATCAGGATACTAATTTTCTGAACTTTTAACTGGCAATAAGAAAAAGGAACGTTTTAGTTTTCTATTTCGCAATTGTACTCTAACTTTCGTGAACGCTAGGGTATATAAGTTCCACTTAAAAAATTTCAGAGGCCTGAACGATTTAAGATGCATTCTATTAATGCAAAACGTTTAAGCGAAAATTTGGAAATATGAAATTTATCAGTAGGCACAACTGGCATCAATTTATTGCTAGAGATTACAGACCGCTACGTTTCGACCGTACGGGTTTGTGGTCCTTTTCAAGCGACAAAGTATAATATAAAATTACGTATCACATGAATGCCAATAATAAAATTACGGAATCTCTCATCGGGTCCTATAACCGCAGGACACGTTTCAGAGCACGTCCGCAAATGTAGGAGACAACAATAAGACAGCGATAAGAAATTAATTTGGTCATGAAAGGATTAAATTTCGTTTTTACGGAAAATTTTATTTTCTTAAATTGAATTAGTGAACGTTTCACTAGTTAAAATAGTAACATAAGATTTCATTGAGTATCAGTGAGTATTTCAATAACGCAAGCGTTATTCTTTACTCCTGTTATAGTAGAAGCTCCCACTATAAAATTCATAGTAAACGTACTGAGATCGTAATTGCAAGATTTTAATTTTCAAATTAAATCATTAACGTTCTTGGAAGGTTGAACTTGAACGTGATATCTTGCGCTTGTCATGGAAATGTTCGTTGACAGATTAGATTATGAAATAGCTGCTTTATTGTACTAATGACAGGCTATATTTGCAGTCAGATAAAATATCTGTTTAGAATCAAACTTTAGCTCGGTTAACATAAAGATAAGCCAGAAACAAAGACGGAAAGAAAGACGCACGATAAAACTTTGATTTTCAAAAAGAGTCTTTGGGCTACAGGAGAACGCGTGTTTGCGGTGACTTCAATTAATCAAGGAACTTTTTTATATGTTTGTGTCAGGATATATTCAACACTATCGTTTAAACAAATTTTTAGATAAAATAGGGATATAGAACTATAGTTTATGCGCTTTAGTTAGATTGGTTGAGGGAAAAGTTTGAGATACCTGGCGCCTGGGAATTGCCCGCGGAGCACCGGAAGTGGACTTGGATGAATATCATGAGGGCCGTGAGTTTTGAGAACTTTTTAGCAAAGAAGTACGGGACGGAGAAGAGATTCGGCTTAGAAGGCTGCGAATCGTTCATTCCGACCATGGCGGAATGCATGGAAACATCGGCTTTACATGGTAACTAAACTGATTCTCCTGAACCCAGGTATCGAGCAAAGTTTCCAAGTGATTTTTCTGAGTTTCCGTTTACGATCTTTAAAATTTCGATTCTATCTTGATTTATTTGCCTTATTTATTGGTCAGGAGTCGAAACTATAGTTATCGGTATGGCGCATCGTGGTCGTCTAAATACTTTGGCGAACATCTGCTTGAAACCGATGAGTCAATTGTTTACTCAATTCAACCCGATCGCTCTGGAAGGATTCGGTTCCGGTGACGTAAAGTATCACCTTGGAACGCACTCGGAGAAACTATTAGAAAGGTGAAGACAGAGCCGCCGCAATACAAAATTGGTTTTAGTACGCGAATGCGTCAGGCATCGATATTTAAACTTGTATTCCAAGTCACGAGGGGAGATAGGCATATTTATCATATTTAATTTATTGCGACTATATTGTAGAACCAAGAAGAAAATTCTTGTCGCCATAATGGCGAACTCTTCTCATCTGGAAGCAATCGACCCGGTTATAGTCGGTCGTGTTCGCGCCGAACAAGTCGAGAAAGGTGACTATAAACGTAAGTGTTGAGAAACGTAATATAATTTTCTAACAAACGATAAGACTTCCTTGAAATAAATCGACTTCTGCAGACGGCAAAAGATCGTTGGCTATACTGGTTCACGGTGACGCCGCTTTTGCTGGCCAAGGCGTCGTTTATGAAACGATGCATCTCACCAATTTGCCGGAATATACAACGGGTGGCGTCATACACATCGTAATTAACAATCAAGTAGGGATAAGTTTCTCTATGACAATATTTCCTACATTTTATCAGCATTAATCCTAATTAGATAGGTTTTAATCTAAATTTAATTACTTTCTTTTAAACATATTTCTCTAGAGAAGCTGACATCAAGATCAGCTAGGGTCAAAGTTAATATAAAACCAATCTTTAGTATATATAATTAATATGAATACAGTTTCAGTAATTTTTGTGTGCATTTATTTTTCGGTAATTAAATTATTAAATAATTGATAAGATATTTACTAAAACCTTAAATAATTGTAAAGTTAGCAGACAATAATTTATTTCTACTATTTATTATAATAATTCTCTAGATTGGTTTTACAACCGATCCAAGATATTCACGATCTAGTGCACATTGTACGGATGTCGCTCGCGTTGTCAACGCTCCCATTTTTCACGTACATGCCGACGATCCTGATTTAACGACTTACTGCAGTAAGGTGGCCAGCGAGTATCGGTGAATCAAATTACAATGCTGTTCATTTTTCAATCTTTTTATATTACGGCAATAGATTCTGTTTTGGCCGTTCATCTATATTTTTTAATATTTTAATTGTACAATCTCCCAAGCGTTTCATTTACGGAATAGGAGCTTATTAGTATAAATGCTAAATAAATTATTATAAAAATTCGTCTGAGCTAACATGTTTTGTGATAAAAATTAAAATATTGCGACAAGCGCCCTTTTACAAATTTTTTATACAAGAAACTTGATTAACTAATATCATGTCACCTTTCAGGGCTACCTTTCATAATGATGTGGTGCTGGACATCGTTGGATACCGAAGAAATGGTCACAACGAGATGGACGAGCCGATGTTAACGCAACCGCTCATGTATAAACGAATAAAAGATCACCCTAGTGTTCTATCCATCTACAGTGACAAACTGATTAAGGAGGGCGTGATAACGGAAGCTTTCGCAAAGGAGGTTGACGAAGACTATAATTAATCGTTTTAATCCTGCCGCTATGCGTGTGCACACACAACTTTTTTTTGTGCGTAGGAAATAGAAAAATACGTGGGCCATTGCGAGGAAGAATTCAGGAAAGCGCAGACCATCGGCTCGATGCAAATGAGCGACTGGCACGACGTGCCCTGGACCGAATTCTTCTCTCATCAGACTCCGAAAAATAAGATACCGCCAACCGGTATCGACATCGCGACCATTAAAACGATATGCACTGCTATATCCACCCCTCCGAAGGACATCGAGGCGCATGGTCAAGTTAGCAAAACATACGAGTCGCACCGTGGAGGCAAAACTTCCCTGACTTAGAAATTTCCAATCCATTTCTGCGACTGACAAGTTGTCCGTTTAATTTACCTCAGAAATCATGAATCTTCGGCGAATTTTTGAATTTGTATCTCTCCTTTATAAAATTTGCCGATTAGCTGAGGAACATGTGTGCACGGGCGGAGCGAGTTTCCGATCGATTAATGTTCGGACTTGATCTGCCTATCGAACGCATAGGTACTGAGGGCGATGGACAGGCGAGCGAAACTCATGGAGTCTCGGCAGGTCGACTGGGCGATGGGGGAGTGCCTGGCCTTCCTCAGCCTGTTGAAGGAGGGTCACCACGTCAGACTGTCCGGGCAAGATGTCGAACGTGGCACCTTCACCCAACGGATACACATCGTTCACGACCAGAGCAGGGACAAGGTCTACAAGAACATCCTGCGCGACGTCTTCCCGAGACAGGCTCTGTACACCGTCTCGAATTCGTCGTTATCGGAATTCGGCGTGTGCGGTGAGGAAAAATTAGCTAATTATTAACTGGCTGTTGTGCCACAGTGCACCTGTCGATAGCGATATCTATTCCTGCCGTGCGCCCATCTTCTCTTCACATCTTATCGTTAATACGTCCATTATTTCATTCTACGTCAATGTCCAGCAACCTTGAAGTCTTGGCAGTCATCTAGCAAGCTATTAAACTGCTGAAGTTTTACATTCAGGAAAGACTTTAACAGTAAACTCGCGACAGGCGTGTAATATTATATTTGTAATATTCGCCGATAAGATAGATATAGCCGGCACGTAGTGACTTGGCACGCGCTAGAGTTTTATTTGAATGAATAACTCACAGTGGTTTCTGATAATTAATGTCTTACGAATAAAAGGGTTCGAACTGGGATACTCGGCGTACAATCATAATACACTGATAGTCTGGGAAGCACAGTTCGGCGATTTTGCCAATACCTGTCAGGTAACTTTAACGATTGCTTCTTAGCACCTTCTCGCTTTAATAGATTTTATTTTCGTACTCTCGACGATTTCGTATTTCCGATGTCAAGTATCTCGACGAGCGAGATTTTTCTTTCAATTTCTGGTTAAAGTTAAAATTAAGTGGAGCATCAAACTCTATAATTTCTATTGTACATCCCAAAAGAATAATCGTGATATTTTATAAGAATATCCGCCGCCTCTGAATTGAATCTGCGACTCTAAATTATTTTTCAGGTCATACTAGATTGCCTGCTAAGCTCCGGACAAGCCAAATGGGGCAGACAGGTAGGATTGGTACTGTTGCTGCCGCACGGTTTGGAGGCCCAGGGGCCGGAGCACTCGTCCGCCAGATTGGAGAGATTTCTTCAGCTGTGCGACGACGAAGGAACTTATGTGCCCGGAACGGAACCCGGTGCTCCCACCGGTGAGACCGTCGAACAAATTATGACGAGACAGCTTTTCGAGATAAATTGGATCGTCTGTAATCCCACGACACCTGCCAATCTGTTTCATCTTCTGCGTCGACAGATATTGATGCCGTTCCGTAAACCGTTGGTTAGCAAAAAAAAATCTTTATCTACGCGAAGCGTGCTTTCGCCACAAATATCGTAAGGCAATATTCCCTCGAAAATATTCACACAGTGCTAAATTGATTACTAAGAAAACAGATCAGTACATACCATTTGTAAATTTTGAGGCTCTTTCCCCACTTTTTTACAATTATATCGAAAAACTTGCACAAAACAATCGAGATCGAACATCTCGATTGTTCGACACATGTTCGCGTACGCGAATTGACTATACTGAATACTCTCAACTCATACTCAAGAATAGTGACCAAACATTATTCATATCTTCCACTTTTTACTAACATAAATTACAGTGCGATAGCAAAAAGACTGGCTACATTAAACGCTACATTTACCAAGTGGCGTTTATATTTTTGAAGCGTAATGCTAGTCCTTCAATTTTTATCGCACATGAATGTCGCACGTGCGATTGTTGACGACTCGATTATTATATCGAATTGTTTTTATAAGAATTTTTATCAAGATGTTTAATCAAATTACTTCTAAAGTTTTAAAGCTGCATCTGACTTCGCACATGATAAACTCTTTCAATTTTTGCCCATTATGTAATAATTGCCTTTTTATTTATTGCAATAATTGCATTTTAAATCTAATTTATATCACAAAAATACCACTTAGGTTATTATGAGCCCCAAATCATTATTGCGTCACCCGATGGCGACATCGAATTTTGAAGAGATAGGACCAGGTACGAGCTTTAAACATGTTCTACCGGATTCATCCGTGAAAACCGGGAACGTGAAGAAGGTGTTGCTCTGTACCGGGAAAGTGTACTACGATTTGGTCGTCGAGCGACAGGAGCGACAATTAGAAGATAAAATAGCTATTATTAGAATCGAGCAGCTCTGCCCTTTTCCGTATCATCTCTTCGCAGCGGAAATGACAAAATATCCACAAGCAAAAGTGAGAAGTTTTCGATTATGATAACGCATTTGTTGATATTTAATTATAGGACTGCACACGTGAGCCTGCGAAACCTTTAGGTCTTTGGGGCGCAGGATTTTGCAACAAAAAAATTCCTTGTTTTTCCTAAAAACATTTATTGAGAAATATACATTTTCACCGAGGTCTCGTACAAAAGTATTTAGGTCTGAGGGACCAAGTATGGGATCCGCAAAGAGTGTGTAGTCCTAGAGTTAACGGGTATTTACCTCTTCAAAGAAGCTCGAAGAATTGGCAACGATAGAAGAGGTGTATGATTAATGTTTCTGTACATGCAGATCATGTGGCTGCAAGAAGAGCACAGAAATCAAGGCGCTTATTGTTACGTGAGAGATAGGATAGCCTTAGCTTTGGGCATTCCACTGGAGGAGGTCGAGTACGGTGGTCGCCCTGCCTCGGCTGCACCGGCGACCGGTAGCAAGATTATTTATAAGAATGAGCACGATAACATGATGGCAATTGCGATGAAGATTGACGAGTGACTAATCCCGTGGCTAAAAAGCATCGTGACTATGTATCGGAAATAACATAATATTTCTTCGGGAAAACAAAATCGTGTAGTGTGAGAAAATGTACTCGTAACTTGAAATGTATCGTAAAAAGAAAAACCGGATGTTTTACAATAAAACGCCCGCGGGGTCTATCGTTAATAATATTATGATAAGCGATTGCACCTACGATCAATTCTGATTACCGGATTTGAGCGGAACTCACTCACCAGCAGGCACGAATACTCGGCCTTTCCCTGCGTTGCGCACGAAAGAATTACTTTATTCGAACAATTCCACATTACATTCCCGTTTTCATCGCGCTTGCGGAAGACTTCCTAGACACGAGTCGCAAGGATGCACGATATGGGACTAGAGTCAAACGTCGATTAAGCCGGGACGCTAATGATCGCCAACGTACACACGCAGAAAGAATTTACACTTCGAACAGAGGCCACAATTATTAACGGCTTAAATAATTTCATCTGCGATACTGGCCAACAGTGACTCTATTGTTTCCGTCTTGAACATGACATTCGTTATATCGCACCAAGAAATTTCCTCAGGCCGAATATAGATCGTCTCGAATTTAGAGGACAAATCCTGTGTGAAATCTGAAGATAATTTAAAATTGAAGGAGTGGTTGATAAGTGGTTGGTAAACATCCGCCGGATTATCGGATTGACTTTAGTCGCGTTCGGTGTCTGCAATTTAAACTCTTGCTCATTCGGGGAATGAACTCCAGTTATCGGAATTATTATCGACTGTTCTTTAGTCGCGTCTTAGATCAGAGGGAAGTCGATACGGCGCGCTAACGTTATGTAATGCCGTTGCAATGTCATTGTTGAAGAAATTCGTGTTTTATGGCTTCGTGAATATTAAAAAATTATGATTAGATACATACAGGTGAAGAGCGAATTTCTCGCGAAGCCATTACATTTATCGTACTTGGAATCTCTGCGTTCGTCGAAGACATGATAATAGTAATCAAAAGTCTGCGCAGATAAGATAATATAATATAATATATAATATAATATAAAATTTAAAAGAATACGAAATTTTTAAGTATATAGCTTTTCGTACGAGAAGTTGCACATAACGATGAAAATTTCTTACCATTTCGTCGAGTTGATAACGTTCAAAATGACGCGCCTGGTTTTAACAACGAAGGAAAACGTGCCACTTGGTCGAGCGCTCTACCCTCTCTCTCTCTCTCTCTCTTTTTTATTTTTACACTTACACTCCGATAAGAAACACACACTTCATATTTATTGTACATTCAGTCGGTTCTCACTGTCGCCAAGTAAAAAAAAAATTGCGACACAACACCGTCCACCGAAATTGAAATCGATTTGATCGTTACACTTGATCCTCTTGCAGCAGTACCTCGCTATCGTCTAAGTAATTGTTCATGCGGCATGCACTGTAAACAAATTCGCTTTCCTGAATAATTCATGCATGGAAGAGATACATTTTTATTACATACATGACAAGTAGATTGCAACGCGCATATAAAGTGATTTGGAAAATTAATTGAAATTGAATGTTTTCTGGCAAGTTTAATTAACAGCAGTATTAAAGCGGAAACAATTTTTCGCCGTTCTACATTATACCCAAAAAGCAGGATTAGAATCTTCAAAAAGTAAAGATTAAGCGACTGCTATATATACCTTATAGATTAATCAACTCATAGGCAAATGTATTTGTACGTGTAAAATATTTTCCCTTTCGAAGAATAGCGAGATAATTTTTTTCTAAACATAAGATAGAGATGTAGAGAGACGTGAATAGTTTTCGGGCTGTAATGAAGGTAAACCAGCTTGGCCCGGCATGTCGAATTAAACAAATAAAATAACGGAGAGAAGAAGACAACAGTTTTATTGCAAATTACGATGAGCAATGCGCGATTAAAACCAAGGAACTATTCGATGTTGTTATGTTAGTCACGTTGTTGTACTACCAGTCATTAGCATTTTTCTATCTTTCTTGCTTCTCTTTGACTTACCGGTTTTTCTTCCTTATTTCTCACGTTACGCGTTGCTCGACGGTACTATTTCCCGTGAGCAGGATACACGCGAATCTCTGCTATCTGTCACCGAAGGGAAACCGATACTGAAAATACTCCCGGCCGTGACAACGGATAAGAAAATCTTTATCAAGTGATTTCCGCGCTCACCTTCGGATCGTTTATTAACAATCACAAGTACGAATCGCCGCCTATCGCGAGCAGGACAGATAAGACAGGTAAAAATGAAACTGATCATCGTCTATTTCTACTCTTTCGTCGAATCATTTCCGAGTGAGAGATAACGATTTGTTTTGTTGAATTCTTGTGAATTTGTAGTGAAATCAGAATTTTGCGGTAAAGCAAAGTCAAAATTATAAGTACATACAGTAGTACATCTTATGCATTAAAAGTCATTAATTCTATTTATATGTAATAATAGCTTTCTGGAACAAGATTTAGTTGTTAAAATTTTTAATTAAAAAAATCGCAATAAAATAAAAGAGTAAAAGGTGAAGGAAGCGAAGAGTGAAAGTGGAGGAGTTTCGAGAAAGAACTTAACTCTTAATATTGTAGAACATTAATTAATTTTCGCTTCTTAAACATTAATTTATTATTAATATTGCTTTTATTAATTTTAAGGGTGGAGAATACATTAATAGAAGTAATATATCTATACATTGTTTTTTAGTGAAAAATTTTCTCATACCTATTCTTTATTTTTCGATTAAAGATACAAATGGTGTCTTATGTGTTTTCGTATTACAAACACATTATACACGTAAATATTGCGAATAATAATGTGCAATCGACTCGGCGTTTGATTTTAAGCGACGTTGGTGGCAAAGAAGCCACGGGCCCCGAATAGATCTTGACGAAAATACGCGCGTGAAATTTGTTTAGGCATTCAGACTTGGGATTAAAGCACATTTGAGACACGTACAGAAATTTCCGAAATGAATTTGATCGGAATTATTAAATTTTTCCTAGAAAATGCAAAATAGAATTGCAAGAAATAATGCAACAATTCCAGATTCTATTCCGGGAAGTCCCGTAAATTCACTCACGTTGACAACCGAACTCGGTGACAATTGGACACAGTGAAAGTGAAAAGTGGAGACAGTGGAAATCGGATACAGTGACAATCGGTTATACGTATTGTGCGTGCGGTATTAAATTTTAATTGTGTACTTTTAATTGAACCGCCTGCCATCACCAACCGTCGACTTGACTAAGAAGTGCAATACGAATATTGAATTCGTTAATGAAATTTGTCACTTTTCACGAGCCCACGCAAGAGGAAAAGACTCACGATCGAGAGCGTTGGAGCAAGTTCTAGCACCGTGGACACAGGCCTTAATACTTGCCGGGACGTTTGAAATTGCCGCGCGGACAGCGCTCAGCTGCGAGCCTTGGCACGGCGCACGCGCGGCGGACTAGTCTCCCCCCACCGCGGCGCCACCGGTCCGCCGCTCGCCGCTGGCTGACTGGGCTGCCCCGGTCGCACAGTATGGCGGTGCTCGGCGTGCGTGGCGGAGCGTGAATGATCTCGGCGTTGCATAATCGGCGGGGGTAACCAGCTGTGGTCTCGCGTGAGCTCGCGAAAGCGGAGAGGAGGAGAAAGAGAGGCCCGCTCGCGAGGCGGTGAATTTGGGCAGCGTGTGACGCTACGACAGGTCGACGACAGTGCCTCCCGCGGACCAAGAGATATGCCGCCAAGTGGAGTCGCGCGTTGCTAGCGTCAGGGATGCGGGATCGGGCATCGTCATTGCCAATCACGGATCGGTAGCGAGCGGCGACAGGGGCGACAGCGTACCGCACAGCATGACGGCGATTAAGAGCAGCGGCACGCCGGGCACCCTGCGCCAACTCAACGTTTTGAACAACTTCAAGTACGAGTACTTCGTCGCGGGCATCTCGGGCGGCGTCGTCTCGACCCTGATGCTGCACCCGCTGGACCTAATCAAGATCCGATTCGCGGGTGAGTGAGTCACGCGCCGTTCACGTCGCGCCGCTTCGTGCACGCTTTGCGCGAGGGCGCGCACGAGAAAATGGCGGCCGTCATTGTCACATTGCGGCAGCACGTGGTGCCGAGCGTTATCGAGCGGCACTTCCCCTCGCTCTCGAGCTTTCTTTCCTCCCCTTTTCTCCTCGTTTTCTAACTCGAGTCTCCGAAACGAATCGCGCGGACGAAGCGGGGGACGACGGGAGGGGGGGGGATTGTTATCGCCGCGCCGTCACGTGTGCGGCTGACGAAATATTCGACCTGCTTAATTCACGAGTCATTTATCGCCGTTCGATTGTGTTCGCTCGTCTATCATTTTGCGAGGAAAGAAAGATGATAAGGAATGAAGTCGTAGGATTCCTCCTCTAAATCGATGTTATTCGGAAAGTAGAAAGTCATTCGGTTATTTGGTCGTTTTAAGTGAAAGGCAGTCATCTAGTTTCTTACAATTAAGCTTCCGAACGAAAGAGAAGACTCGAAGTATCGAACGCTTGTATTTTTTTTCAAGTCTTTCAAGCGTTTATCATTAAGCTATCTGGGTTATCGAACATCAGGCAGCGTTTCCGCAGTCCGATTATCTTTTTTTTTTAGGACAGATTTTCCGCATCTTGTTGAAAAGGATGCGACCGCATTTTGTCTTGTATTCCATTTTTTATACTTCGAGCTGCTATTTATTACGCAGAAGGCAAATATTGCGTGCAAGCAGATTTTTGTATTATTACATCACATTTTTCATTACAAAAAATATTCACAAAGGTATTCGTCACGAATTGTTATAGAAGTTTGCATAAAATTTTTCGATTTTGAGAAAATATTTCCAAGCTATTAATGAAGCTAATAAAAATATACATTTATCGACCGAACAAGCTATGAAACAATATTGTAAAGACTGTCTGTCTTAAAACGCGGAAGAAAGCTCGAAAATGCATGTTTTTGAAAAAGAAAATTCTAACGGACGTGAAACGTGGTGGAAGATACCACTTGGTTCGAGTATCCCGAGGAAACCTCGATGAATGAATTTCTGGCTAGCTTGTTCGAGTTTCGGAATATCGCGCAGTGTAATTAACTCCCGTTGTGCGCACGTTTGAAACTTGACGCGCCTCCAAATTAACGCGCTTACATTGTATTTAAAACAGCATCGTACTATATTGCCCTGGACAGGAGCGTACGCTTCGCGAAACGCGGGGTTTCGATATCGAAAGTTACGCACACTCTAGTTTTATGCGTTGCAAAATATACTTGATGCAATCACAATGATACAATTTTCGCCGGGATACGAGGGGGAAAACCGCCGAGGGCATTGTGGCGTACGGATTTGCGGCATTTTTTGGACATTAGGCCTTGCTGGGGCATTAGTCCCAGTCCACAATAGAGATTTAAGCCCTAAGCCTTAAGAAATTGACTAATCACAGTCGCGCATTCTACTCATACTTGACCGTGATTGGCCAATTTCTTAAAGCTTAGGGCTTAAATCATCTATTGTAGACTGGGACTTATAAAGATAAAATAAGAGAAGATGATTATTTTATTCTATATTAAAAAAGTAACTAGCCAGTTTGGTTGACTATAAGTTTCCCGTCTCAATTTTTAATCATTACTGGTGACAATAAGCGAACTCTCCTTTCGAAGATGAAGTAATGCCCATTGGGCATTAGTGGGCATTACTTTATCTTATTATCTTCTTTTGTCTTATTTCATCTTTATAATGCCTCAAAAATGCCTACACTGAAAAAAATTTCTGGTTGAATATGGACGAATCAGATAATTCCTTTAGGATTTACCAGAATTCCTGTAATCCTACAGAAAATTTCTGGTTGAATATGGACGAATCAGATAATTCCTTTAGGATTTACCAGAATTCCTTTAGGATTTACCAGAATTCCTGTAATCCTACAGAAATTCTGGTAAATCCTAAAGGAATTATCTGATTCGTCCATATTCAACCAGAAATTTTTTTCAGTGTAGTAATGCCGCAAATCTGTACACCACAATGCTCTCGGCGGTTTCCCCCTCGGTTGTAACGTTTGTACATACGTGGGTATTTTAGTTTTGGATTGGACGCACTTTACAGCGGCGTGTTGTATCTTTTTGGTATTCCGTATACATTCTGAAATCACACGCAATAGTGGCTAAGTACTTATATTTAGATACGTTGAGAAGTGCCCGTATTTCGTATCTAGATACTTGACGCAAAGGATACTCGGGTAGCGGAGGCACTGAAAATAGAGATGCCTTATATCACTGCTCGCACTCTGCTATGAGCTATGCTGCACCGTATAAATTCTACGTACGGCTATGCAACGCCGAGCAAACGCGAGATCGATAATACGAAAGTGAAACAGTGACGCGAGCCGTCTGCTTAATTCTTTTACAATCCTTTTTCTCCTGACCCTTCTGTAATATCTCGATAAATTAATTACGCAATTGAGGCAATTACGCAATTAAGAAGTTAGTTCTTAACAGAAATAATAAGCATTTCGATAAATTAAAGTAAGACGTTCCTATGAGAGAAGATTAAACGTAAAGAGAAGAAAACGGAGCAAAAGAAACGGATAAACTCGTACTCGGGCTATTCGATGGATAGCTGATTGTTTATTTCACTTTTAATTCTTTAAAGAAATCGCCGCAGTTATCCCTTAAACAATACTCCATTATTATCTATTAACTTACGGCCGGACTTTATTCCAAGAATAAAGTCCACAAGTTTCATCGTTAGAGACAAATGAAAACATTTATTAAACGCTCATGAAGTGTCGCAACAGACGGCGCCGACTTTTGCCGAGGATGGCGACTATAGAGTCTAGACGGAGAATTTATCGTGTCCAGCGCAAAAAAAACTCAGCGCAAAATGTTCGAGATTTTGTAAGTCTTGCGCTGTGACTTAGATTTTTATCTCGACATTCTTTTCTTATCTCCATTTCCGGTCTTCTACAAAAGAAGCAGCGTACCGACCATAGTTCCTATTGTTTGAGACATTGTCTGCTCGGCCTCGGGATGCGAACGAATTTCCCTTTCTGTTGCGCGCGAATAAAGCATTGAGATTTTGGGCTCGAGAAAGTTTTCGCTAACGCTCGTTGGTATTCGAAGTCGATACACGATCGCCGGAGGCAGGACAGTATCTTTTCCATGTTTCAAGATACACGTGGAAAATATTTAGAAATCGCGAGGCGATTTTTCCTTCGTTTTCGAACACGAGCGATACGCTCGTAATATTTTATTTCCGACGTTGCTACTCTATTATCGTCGCTGCTGTTTGTTACCGATCAGAAGTCAATATTATGAACGACACTCCGATGATGAATGTTATTTTGCGCAGTCTGTGAGCACAATAGCGATACGGGGTGACGGGATTCGCGAAACACGCGCTCGTTTGGGTTATCACTATCGCCCGAGCTATCAAGCCCGTCGCGATAATTGACGGCAAGATTTAGATTAGATTGCGTTTAGAAACTAACGTATTTGTCTAGAGATTCGCTACGAAATTTGCCCGGAAATAATGCGCCGTCGTCGCGAGACAGTCTTCAATTACTCGCGCGGCGTCCTTGACAGTCCATTCGCTTTTTAAATTTGCATAATTATATGTAGTGCACAATATATAAAGAAAGAAACATATACGAAATTAACATACTATTAAGCGACATTAAGTTCTTTTTCTTTCAGATCACTACATATAATTATGTAAATTTAAAAAGGTCGCGAGCGATTAGGAATTGATGCTTTGATAGTAGGATAGTGGGACATTAAGGTACAAGGACCCTTTAAGCGTCAATTATTTCGGTCCACGCGTGTAACGAAAGTGCGTGTTCCACAGCACTTTTCCTTACGATGATTCCACTATACGCGAAACAACGGGGATTACATTATTTTATACAATATTTACGTCACATGCTTTTTCGGGCTCAATCTTGGTATCCAGGTGCTCGATTTCATGGCTATCGCGAATTGGATATCCTTGTAATATTATTTTGCACAGATAATATTCTAAGTACTTCAGTATCATAATGTCGATAACGCCGCTTCTCGCAACCGAATAATTGCAAAGGGAAACCTGATTCGAAATTGCTAATCGGCAATTACTAATAAATTAAAAGTCTTCCTAACTCGATCGCAATTATGTTTCTATATTTCTTGGGGCGCTGCTACAAATTAATAAACATTTTCCACGCCGGCCAGAATTTCATCAACCAAATAATTACATACTGAGTTTCGGATCGAGATTTCGGAAACGAGACAAAGAAGGGGGCGGACGGGGGCGGCTATTTATAAAGTCTGTCCGCGTAAATCGCGAATCACGGTACAAAACGAGCAGAATAAAAATATAGAATTTAAACGTTAATAAGCGAAGCATTTTGGCCAAAGTAACCGAGTAGAAGTCGGATGTTTTTTTACAAATGTTTCGGTGACGAAACACGTTTTTGTTTGTGGTGGATTATCTTAATGAAGACAACATGTCTTATCTCCTCTCGCGGACGACTGATACGGGCGGCTCGTGTGCGAGATACGAAGATATTCGATCGATACGAGCGAACGAAGGGCCTGATCGTTCGCGCTATCGGGAGCCTCGAGTTACTCGCGTATCGGGTTTCCAGACGGGATTTAGAGGAAATAACGAGAGCGGTTTAATTCTTACGCACGTTTCGACACGCCGACTCGTTTAGGCTGTGGAATTTTTACTTTGAAAAAAGCTCGCGTTGCCCGGAGGAAACTTGTTCGCGTACCGGCTCACTTTCGTTGCTCTATCATTCGCGTCAGAATTCAGAGTAGAACTCTATTAATAATTTTGCACGTGCGTTAATGCGGTAGATGCACGTATGATCTCTTAGATGTATATGTGTATTTCACGTACGTGCGTAATTTGATTCTTCAAATTTCTCTCGTACTTAATATCCACTTTAAACGGTCTATAATTTGTTTCATAATTGAAGAACAGAATTTGGTAATTTAATCAATTTGAAACTTTATATGCGTCGCCAGTAAATGCTATATTTTCATCGATCAACTGGCAAGCTTATTAAAATTAGATCCACCTTGTGGATCAATTAATCAAAATGTTTATTGTCTATAAAATTATAAATACTATGTTTTCATCGATCATAACTGGCAGGTTTATTAAAATTGGATCCACATTATGGAAGCCTGCCAGTTTTGATCACTGAAAATATAGTATTTATAATTTTATATGCAACACGAACGGTTTGATTAATTGAAAGTACACACATACGTATATATTGTAGAGCATACGTTAGAATAATTAATATATCAAAGTATACGCCATATGTAAAGTTGCAAATAGAATTTTATGTTGTAATCTGATGCAAATTATTTTTTTTACGATTACAATATAAAAATCGCGTAAAATTGTGAACTAAATTAGGAGTAGATGGAAGACAACGGTTCGGAAATAGGAATTTGTACGAAGATACTTGAGGTGAATTAGACAAGAGACAGAGTTCCGTTTGTCGAAGTGGACTGCCTGAGGTTTAGGGGAATGTTGGGGGATTCCTGAAGGACTAGTGAAAGCGTGGAACTTAAGCGAGAGTGTTCTTGTTCCTCTTTCTTCCTTTCGACGGACAACCGTCCCCGCAGACACAAAGTACCGCGTTTCAATTCTCAAGGATCGTTTCGAAAACGAGTTGTTTGCGGAGATGTTGCTCGTCGTCCGCGTTCATCACGTGCTCTCGATAGAGAAGCCGTGCTAATACGGTGACACTATCTAACATCAGTTCAGCCTCGTGAAATACATTTCATTCTAATCGCGCGCGCGACGTGAACCGACATGGCGGTTGCATAATCGTCACGTGTTCGCGTTTATCGATGCGACGTTATTTTATGTGCCGCAACGTACGTATTGTAATACGTTATCTTAGAAAAAGACATATTAGGTAACGCGAGATATTTTGTTATCATGTTGCAAAAGTTTACAAGACCCTGAAATGTTTCAGTCATTTGAAAACGGATGTGGAGATTCTTGAAGATAAAACATGCATACGTCTATCAAATTGTTTTTGTCGGAAAAGTATGCATTTGAAAAGAGATGTTTTTATTAATAACAAAATTATTGATATCGACGGAAGTTTATCGTGAACCAGAAGTAAATGATTCTGTTTTGGTGTAATTAAATTTATTCTGCCTATTACCCTTTTTATAATGAATGTTAAGTATAATTACTCATTAATGATACAATTTCGAAAAGTAGACACAAACGTCATCGATTATTTATCGATACCACGAAAGATACGATTTATTATCTATTATTTTCGCGTTACGCCGGTATAATCTGGCGTCTCTATCGATCTCTCATTTCTAATAATGAAAACATCGCGATTATATTGCACAATTATATGTTTTGCAGCGAATATGCAAAGTTGCAAATGTAGAGCAATTGATTCACTTTAACGATGCTGCAATACATTACACTATAAATAGATACGTTGTGTAATTTACTCGCTATTTAATTACATTTAGAGGAAAGCCCTCTATTGTGCGACAGTTTTCTAATATCAGATAGCAAGTTTTCAACACCCAAATTCAATCACATATTTGTTTGCCCAACGATTACACAACCATGAATTTTCTACCAAACAGATTTCGCTCCAAGGACAAGAAGTTTATGCTGGAATCAACAGATGAGGCATATTAATTTAACAAAAACTCCGCTGTCTCATGTTAGAAGCCTATCTTATATTAGGGGACTGTCCTCTATTATTCTACTGTTTATGGATGAACAGAACATTAAATGCAACATTCCCCAAAATATATTATCGTTAAATTAAATTATACACTATATATTATACTATGTGTATATAAAATTTAAAAGTTATTTTTCGAATACACAATCTCCTTTCCTGCATTTTGAAGAACCCATCCTCGTGTTTTGAGGAACTGAAATTTTGGAGTTCATCCAACATGTAACATCTTATCTTGTGATTCTTATTAGCTCTTAGATCACGAGTGAGCTCACTCGCGGGTTCACGGGGGCGGGAGAAATGTTAAGATACGCCGTGGATAACTCTCGTAATAGGATTTAATGTGACAGAAAGTTTCCATCGTAATGTCGGGGCCGTTGTTTTATTCCGCCGTCACCATATATCAAACCAAATGAATTGCCATGTTTTGAGTAACTCACGCTTCCGGCCACTTGACTCAAATACAATCGGCCATTGTTTATTCGTCTTGCTTATCCGAAATGTAATAGTCGACCTCGATTTCGTGTATACAAGTTGATATCGAATCAATTAATGGCTTTCTAGATTTTTCTTCTTTTAAGTCTTAGTTTCAAGCCTTAGAGATCTTGCCGATGTCGAAGTCGATATCTATGTTACCTCGAATCGGTGAAACTAAGCAGAGAAAACTAATTGTAGGTAGAGAAAAGTTTTCTCCTGTTTACAGAATTTTTTTCATTGAATCCGTCGCGATCGAACGAAGACAGAAATGTGCGGCGTTGAGCGTTAAAAGCATTTAACGAAGCTTAAGTAGAAAGAGGCGAGATTTATTGTGAGAAACTGGCGCCCCACACAGGTGCGTGTATGTGTGCTTGCGCGCGCGTGTCGTATTTTAAACGGAATATTCATTGGCCGTCCACCAAGCACCAAGCCACGAGAATTCCGCGAGTTGCGTCAGCGGCACGTGACGTTCGTTATTGAATCGTTTCGTCACGCAGTCGGCCGGATCGTCGAAAGTCGCTTCGAGAAATTTCGCATCTACGAATTCGGGGACGGGTACAATCGAGGGGGAAAACCGCTGACCAAAATCTTGTACACCAATGCCCACTAGTGCCCAATCAGGGCATTTCTTTATCTTATTATTTTATTTCGTTTTATTTACCTTGCTTTATTTTATTTTATCTTTATAATGCCCGAGTAATGCCGCAAATCTGTACACCACAATGCCCTCGGCGGTTTCCCCCTCGGGTACAATTGAAGAAATGAAATTTCGCGGATACGCAGATCAAGATTCCCTTTGCAAACGTACCTACAAGTACACAAGCTTCAAAATCTTGTTTATAAATCTAAATTACAATAAGATACATTGAGATTCTGCAATCTGTAAAATCAACGGGGACTCGTAATATCGTCGAATACTGTCCGCAATCAGATATTACAGGAATATCCGGAGATAACAAAAAAAAAATCTAAATAGAAAAGTGATATGAAATCGAGGGGTAAACCGCTGACCAAAATCATGTACACCAATGTCTACTAACACCCAGTGGGCATTTCTTTATTTTATTTTATCTTACTCGTATTTACCCGATTTTATTTTTGTCCCAGCAAGGCCCAATAATGCCATAAAATGAACAATTCCCATAATTTCTCACAGAATCTTTGTAACTCTGTTATTTAACACTTTGAGGCATAGTGATATAAAAAATGTTTCATTTTTTCAGTGCCTGAACGCACCTTTAAATTTGTGTAGTTTTGTATTTCGAATAAGTAAAATAAAACTGGTTCGTCACATTTTGAATAAAGAATAAAATTTCCATGCAACTAGGCATTCTTTATTGTAAAATTCTGTGCCTCAAAGAGTTCAGTCAAGGCTCTTTTTTATTTGAAAGCAGAAGTTCCATGTATGAACGTGAAAGCGAAGTGTGTTTTTCGCGCTTCGCATACTTTGATAACGAGATATTATTACTCCTTTGGCTCGGATCTCTTTAGTCTCGCGCGGATTCGACTCGAAGATTATCAAAGTTGAGGCCCAGTTCGACATCGCGCAACTTTAATCTTAGCTTGATTCGTTCTTTGTCCCTTGCTAAGGGGACAGTTGAAAAGAGACGAAGGATGAATTAAGTTAAGTTTAAAGTTTAGTTGGTGAAACCGGGCTTAAAACATTTAACGTCGAAAGTCGATGAATTGTGAAGCGGATATTTCTTGCCGCGACATTTTTGTCGAAGAAGAAATTGACTGAGTTAAATGCAGGAATTCGCGGAGGAAATTTCACGGGCGGGTTTCGTCAGTCGGAAGTGTACACAAAATCGGGAACGGCCTTTCGTAGCCATGTAAAATTACCGTCCAGGAAAGCGAAAGTAAATTGTAACTGCGCGGCAGACGACGATTATTTCTTTCTCCTCGCTCTTCTCTCTGACCCCGCCTTACAATCTCGTGACCGGCATTTTTTAACGACATTAATTTCCGTTGTATCCGCATAAAACGTAAATATGTAAATGATTCGATATAAAATTGTTTCATATCTAATCCCGTTTCTTTCGCTCCTTCGAGGAGATGCGTCTTGACTTTCTATTCTACATTCGAAACTACATATGTTATTATCTGATTAGATTTTGTATCACATCAGCACTTTTCAATTATGTTTTTATTATTCAGATAACATGAAATGAATTTATATCTTAAGTATCCGTTTCGTCGCCACGCGTCATTTACACATGGGTACACTTGAGAAGGAAACTTCTCGGTAAGCGAGACGTTTCGTGAAACGATAATGCCGCCTTTTCGCAATGAGATGCGATATGAAAACTAACGTTGCAACGCGTTTATCGCTGGCGATAAAGCCTATATGTACTGCATACACGCACATTAATCGGGCATGCAAATGTGAGCGTATTCGGGCATAAAAATGGAAGGTTGCTCCATCGCGAGACACGATGATCCGATGGCAGAGCCGGGGGCAGACGACGGACACCAGGAAAAACACCGTAATTGTGATCAGTAATTACCGCGTGGGTGTCTGTTTCAATATAAAACATTAGGTATCTCGTCTCGGCAACGTCGCGGAACATCTTCACGAAGATGTGAGGCGATTGGTCCCAGCCGTAATGGTATTCACTTGAGTTGTTTTCTATGTTGCTCGCAGTGAACGACGGTCATACGAGCTCGGCACCGCGGTACAACGGGCTCAAGAATGCCCTCGCACAGATCGTTAAGACCGAGGGTGTGCGTGGACTCTACAGGGGTGTAACGCCGAACGTTCTAGGCTCGGGCAGCTCGTGGGGTTTCTACTTCTTCTTGTGAGTATACACGGCGGCGATCGCCGATTGACCTAGATTGTTGCGTCTCGAGACCCGAGTAATTAAGTAATCGAGCTGACATCCGCCTGCGATGACGATCTCGATTCTAGATTACTTATGTACTGTATTTTTTGTGGAAAAGTGTACCGGATATCTCGCGCTAACGGCGAATTAACTTGCAGCTACAACACGATAAAGTCCTCGATCCAGGGTGGAAACTCGAAGAAACCTCTCGGACCGTCCATGCACATGTTCGCTGCTGCCGACGCCGGGGTGCTCACCTTGCTCATGACTAATCCAATCTGGGTGGTAAAGACGCGGCTGTGCTTACAATATGCCGACGATGTGAAACTGGCCGAGTCCAAGAAGTATCGCGGCATGGTCGATGCTTTAAAGAAGATTTACAGGACGGAGGGTATTAGAGGCTTATACAAGGCAAGCAAATCTCCCTAATCGAACTTTCGAATAACGATTGTATCCGAGAGTAAGAGCTGCTTCGCGGTTTACACGATTAAAAGAAGACGTTCTGTACTCTTGCAGGGTTTAGTTCCTGGATTGTTTGGCGTCTCGCATGGCGCGATACAATTCATGGCGTACGAAGAAATGAAGAATAAGTACTATAATTACTTGAATGTACCCATCGACACGAAATTGGTAAATCGATTATATTTTTATGAAGATCTTTGTGTGGCAAAGGGAGCAAATCTAAAGCGGATCCAACTGCGCGTACTAATTTTTAACTCGCTACGTCACTCGCTTTCGTTAATCTACGCACGAAGAGCACAAGTATCTGTTTACAAAAATGCTATCTTTGTTCCCAGCTGATAGAGATGCTTCTAAGTAACATTCAATGGCAGTAGCAATGAGAAATGTTTTCTATCGTGCGATTCTCTTTACAGTTTACGACCGAATACATCGTCTTCGCGGCAATGTCGAAGTCGATCGCTGCGGCGTTGACGTACCCTTATCAAGTGGTGAGGGCGCGACTCCAGGATCATCATCGCGATTATCAGGGCACCTGGCATTGCGTTCAATCCACATGGAGGTTAGAAGGGATCAGGGGTTTCTATAAGGGCTTATCACCATACCTTTTACATGTTACGCCAAACATATGTCTGATTATCCTTATTTACGAGCATTTTACTAACGATAGATAATTTACGTCGACACCTTATCGTCGCAAACGTAAGAAAACGTTTTAGACAAATTTTTTTTTTAAATCCTACTCATCTTTAGCGCGTGATATTCCCTAATCTGTCAAAACTTACGATTCGAGGTATTTACGCAGAGCGCGCGTATAATCTTTCAATGATGTGAGGCCGTATAGTACTCAATTTTTTTTTCTTTAAATAGATGAATATCATACGTTAGTTATGTATCGTTCGAGTAGGTTGCAGTATCGAATTATTTTTCAAGGAAGCTTCCCGTGTACTAGCAAAACCACTTTTTATCTTAAATGCCTCCGAAAGATTCGGCGGATAGCTGAAATGATTATTAGTAACAATTTTTATTCTATTCTGTTGTAGGCGAAGTGTAGATAATTGTATTCTTTTGGGCGCTCGCGAAGTTAGTGCCACGATATTTTCTATTATTTGTATTTCTATTAATTCATATTAGATCATATTAAGTTTGTAGGGTCGATTTTTGAGAAAGGCGATGAGAGGGGTCGCTCGACGATGAGGAAAGTAGCTTAAATAATTACTTTTACTGTTGCCGTTTTAACTTCTCGCGCGTAAATCGCGATGATTAGAAAAGGGGGAAAAGAAAACGGAGGAATAGATCTTGAAGTGGCAATGGCTCGTGGTATGTATTATACGTAGAGTGTGTATGTTTTTATTTATTCAACCACTTGTCCTTTCTTATCCAAGTACGCTGAGAGACTGCGATAAAGATTACTTTAATTCCTCGACACGTTTAATTTACTACGCAATTTGCGACGGGCGCATTGTGTATGTAAAGTATAGTCTGTTACATAACGAAAGTGTATTTTGAATGGAATAACTTGTCATTATACGCCGCAATGGATAAATGCGAATATGATCGTCTTTTGTTTGCCGAGTTTTGTATAGATATCTGAGTGTCAACTAAACTGGATTTAGTTGAACAAACCTAGATAGGACACGTGCTTGTGATCGCGCGTGTGCACACGGTGGTTACGCGAAAGGAAGCGGAGGAGTAATATCTTGTACCACGGTATAAGACGGATGAGTGCTCTGTTCAGATGCAAGAGCCGTAAGAAGAAAAATAACGTCCGATTCAGATGGTGTGATCTTGGATAGTTAAATTAGTAACCAAATATTTACTGTACGAATGACGCACACATGATATACCTGTCATTTGTAACGTTCGAACGATCCTCGACGCGTAATGCGTACAAGCCGCACGTGTAAACTGATTGATTTCTGCGATTTTTCGCTCAGGTCGACGAGTTTCGGTGTGGACTAGACGTTGCTTGATTTAGCGAGTTCTTTATTTCTTTTCAAGTCTTAGCAATAGAGTAAAAGTTCGCCGCTGCGTTCTATCTCTGCTCCTCCTCCTTCTCCTCCTTCTCCTTCTCCTCCTTCCCCACCTCCCTGTTTTCCTTTTACGACGGCGGCTCGGTTTCTCTGTAGCCAATACCTTTACCTCATTCTAAGTGGAGTATGTAGAGTTCGTTTAATAGGTAAATTTCGCAGGGATCGTAGAGTCTGGCACTCGGAACGTATCGATCGATAGCAATAAGTTTCCACACCGCAATCTGTAAATAGTAGGACGAATTTATTTATATTCAATCTTCTTTAGCCGTAAAGTCTAGCTAGAATCTGTTTTCTTCGGAGAAAGGAGAGAGTCAAAGGGGACGAGAGCGAAGGAGCATTACTTAAAGCAACATTGTGACGATATTAATAAACACACGCACACATATCGAAACGTTGTTTGTCATTAAATTGATTGATTATTTCAGACCGTCCAGCTTACGTTATTCAAGGCTTCACCTAGATTTGATATCTCCATTCTGTTTCTCTTTTTGTACCGATATCTACTAACAATACCTTATTGACAGCGCAGAGAACGGGAAGACGTCGCCGTTATTAAATTTATGATTTAAGGGAATATATTTTCATAATTGTATTTTGTATTGAAACCGTTATTGTCGGGGTTGCCCCGCAAATAGAGTAAATAGCATGTAGAAAGGTATTGTGATTGAATGATGATATTTATCGAGTAAACAGAAATCTGTTTCGGGTAGTTTAGTAGCTTGTTAAACCACCAGCAGTACGATTTTTGAACGTATTACGATGATACATGAATTAATATGGGACGTGTATTGTTCTTTACTGGATAATTGACATGGTGACAACGAAACAAGATTCGATTCTGCTTGAATTTTGTGCGCGGTTAGTCGGTTTGTTTAGATCTAATAGAGATTATATGGGCTCTGTTAGAAGGAAATGTCATTTTCTAGTTGAACTTTCGTGAAACTCTTGACGGAAGAGAACTATTGGTTTAACGGCCGAATGTTTGTAACAAATCGTATTGTAACGTCAAGAATCGTACGCGGGTTAAATTTAACAGCGCTTCAGAATTCACCGCGTTCTTAGTCTGTTGCAAAGTAAAGCAAAGGCGTATTGCTGGTGGTTGCAGGTATGAGGGTTGGCGCGGCTTTTACAAGGGTTTAAGCGTAAACCTCACCAGAGTGACCCCGGCGACAGTTATCACGTTTGTGGTCTACGAAAATATGTTTCATGATCTACAATCCAGGCGTGCCGCTGTGAAGGAGGTGATCACCGTGCCTGCGGTTGACAAACTGAAGGAGTAAGGTAAAGAGTAAACTGGGGGATCCCACGGAGCTTTACCAAAGTACACGTGTAATCCGGTCGTACCGCGAGTCGTGCGAATTGCATTTCTGATGGCACGTGAGCCGAAATGTGGGTGAATCGTAGTAATTGCAATGAAATTCTGCTGTGAAGAAAAGGTTCGAGAAACGCGTGATTGATGGTACAAATTGAAGACATAAGAATGACGTGAGAAAGACCGCGAACGTTAGAAATAATCTTAAGAGAAGCTTACTTTATTTTCGGAAAGAGAGACGATAAGTTATTTTTCACATAGATTTTAGATCTCGTAGATTTTGTTTTAAATATCATCTGTAGTTTATTTTTTAACACTGTTGGCCATTGCATTCTGTAGCTAAAATAATTACCTTGTATAGCTTTTCCATCGGTGGAAGAATATCTTAGCAGAAAAGCTGTCATGGATTAGAGAATTTCAAATGTTACAGTGGTCTGTATTAATCCTCATCGGATATAATAAAAATTGAATGCCTGGAGCGTGCAAATGATTGAAGTTTTTGGATGTTTGGACGTACACCAGTGATAGAGATTATTTGCATTGATTGTATCTTTTACCTGCATGTTTATTCATAATTTCATTCATAATTTGGCTACATTTGCGACCATTTTTGGAAGATATACAATAGTTTTTATTTCTTGAGTAAATATAGAATTTATTAGTTATAGAGAAAGCTAGAAGGTTTCGACATACGGTCAAATGTTTATTAAACAAATTCTTATTAAATTTTACGTTTCAAGTTTTTTCATTTTTACACACGCCGCTCTTTTTCCTTTACATTACAAACTTGTGTTTAAAAGATACAACTTTTATTGAGATCTCTAATTACATTACTATGATTTGTCGTTGATTGTTAATGTTTGTTTTATATTTATTACAGTCGTTTCATATTTAACGTTTAAAATTGCAACTTTGTCGTTTGTTATAATGTTATACAATAACGTTATGCAATATCGTTACAATTATTTCTTTTTTAAACGATAAGCTTAATGTTGCAAAAGACGTTTGTAAGGTTGACATAAACACGAGTTTGATGAAACACAGATATGTATTTAATCAATAAAGTTGAGAAAATACAAAGCAAAGTAATTGTGAAGAAAAGGAATTGAAACATTCCCAATTTTCGTGATCATCGCTGTTGATCTGTTCCACAATATGTTGCGGATTTGTTTATTGCCTTTCATTTATTTATCGTTTTATAACGTAGCAGATTTCGCATGGACCACAGCATTTCTGATAAAGTTCACAGTAAACGTTTCGCACGATATTCTTTGGCTAAATCTGGCTATATGGATTAATAAACCTTTCAGATATTCTCGAACGCAATCGAACATCAATTATTATTTATCGGTATACTTAATGGCTTATCAGATCTAAAAGATTCACAGGACATTTTGTGTAACGCTGATCACAGTGCTGCTCGCGTTCTGCTTCCACAATCTCGTCCGGAAGATCTTCGCTCATCGACGTAGAAGGCCTGCAACAAAGAAATGCGCATAAACATTATAATTCTTCTACGTTCGTTGTATCGTGCCCGACACGTGTGACAGGCACGAATATCTGTCGAGCGAACATTTCGCTCGAGAATAAAAATTCATCGGATAAATTAATGTACTTTTTTAAATTTCCAGAATTCATCCCCCTCTCTTATCCATCATTACTGTAATATTACGCCAACGGTAATCTGTCAAGCTTTTTTTCTATTCTTGATGTAAATTTAAATAGGCTTTGTTTTTAATATTTACGTGAATATAATTCGAAGGACGTCGCCAAGCACTCCGTTTTCGTCTAAGGAGTATCTTTCAGCCTCGCAGATTGTTCTCAGCAAACAATCCAGTCCAGGATAACCCAGGCTGTTACAAGATACGTATGAGATTGTTTTTTCACTTTTTCTGAACTTGCAAAATTACATTTTGATCGTTAAAAATCGACGGGGGAAAAATAGAAAATAATTAACGCGCGTATCTCCGTCACCTGTCCATTTGGCTTGTCAGCACCTCGTACACTAATCGACGACTGAGACTTCGTTTCGCGTAGTGACTTCCCTCGTAGTAGTAACTCGAATTCCACTCGCGCGGCAATCCGTAATTCGCTTCGAAATAAAACGACACCGACACAGACTTGTCTGGGATATCCACGGGAATTCCCACGGCGAAGAATATCTGCGAAACCGATGACTGTCTTTAAGTCCCAAGGAAATTGGAAGACGATTAGTCGATTTAGCCTTTGACCCTCGCAATTTCTCGAAACGTATTTCATTTACTAGGCGGAAGGTGTCCGCGAGTTTCACAGATTTTGCTAAGAGTAACCGCACTTGACATTTCTTGTTGTGATTTTTTTCGTGACGGATAAAAATGATTTCAGCACGAATTACCATCGCTGTGTTAAGTGAAACGCTTGTTTCGGGTCTCTTCGACTTTTTATCGAACAGATCACACTTGACGAGTGCGCTTGAAGTGCAAACGATTAATATTGAGTTAACAGGCTGCCCGCTCAGTCCGAGACGCATTAGTAGATGAAAAATGAATGATTGATCCGTACCCCTGTATTGCTACCCTCGGGAAATCCGATAGATCGTACATGCCTCGATACACCGTGTGTAATATTTCTCACTCCTGATACATGCGTTGACTTCATAAAGTACCATATCGAGAGAGCCAGCACCGCAGCGAAATTTCTGAAAAATTTTGAGACCGGACGAAAATTTCATGTCATTCGTACTTATTCATCGTTGTTCAACACTTCGAGCCATGTAATCTTTACATCTTTGGAAGCAAAATCAATCCGGATTAAAAAGAGATTATGGCTTTAATTTATGGTACTTATCCCTTATTAACGACTCGGTTACCCGATGGTACTTTTTCCCTCGGTTGTTTACCTCTCGTTTTAATTCGTCCAAATAATTACTTGAATAACTTGGAAATTTCTATTTTTAGTCAACGACGGCTCGATTTTAATTACGCTTGTTTATGTTATTTTTATTACTGGCGAACTCGGGAAATGAATCGGAGGGGAAAAGCTATGTAGCGGCAACACTTAAATTTGTTTTGTAAAATAAATAGCGTCCTGTAAAATAAATAGCTGCGATGTTTTGATATAGGAATGATATTTCCGGCGTGCGCTCGTTCGCGATAACGCTCACGATATTGTTCATTCGGAGCTCGGTAGGTACGTGGGATTCGCGGGGACGGTCGATTCGCCGGTGAAAAACAAAAAGAATACGCGTCTGTTTATTCATTTCTTTATTTCACGAGCTGGTTTGAGTCTGCGGTCGTTTCATGGGTTTTCGCGTGCGTGCAAATACCGGCTCGATAGCTCCGCGGCGTAAAAGCGCGATTTTCGTCCCCGAGAATGAAGTAGGGAAGAGAATAAAAACAATGGATATTTCCGGGTGGCTCAAGATCGGGCACGCGTTAGCAAGGGTTGCTCCTTTCACCGTTAATGTATTGTGCGGGGTCTACAATGCGAGTCTCAGAGTCGCAGTCGTAAGAATAATCATTGGCCATTCAGCCAGACACATAAGAATTGACCGATCGTAGTCGATTATGAATAATGAGACTCGCATTGTAGACCCCGCATTACCTCGTTTATCTCTTTACTTCGCGATCGCATTCTTCGTTTTTAATACGTATGCGTGCGAATAATTTGGGCGTCGAATACTCACTTTCTCATTCCTCTGGTGTACAGCTGGCAACGTGAATCTGGACGCGCGAGGTGTCTGCCGAATGGCAAATTGACGGTTTGTACACAGTTTAAGCGTGGGCGAGATAAAAATTATGTTAGTTTGCGCAAGGCTAATAATTGCAGTCGTTATCGGGCTACGGTTTCTCGTCTCTCGTTATGCGTCCCGACGCTAATGGAGCACCGTGTAGAGACGTGGATTTTTGCGAATGTTTAGCTGCGCCACATCGGCGAACTTTATTTTTTCCCCCAATTCGTTCGATATGAACATTTTTAATATTTAACCAGCGTTTAAGTGCTCCAAACGCGTTTTAACGCTATTTTTATGTCGACGTTTTATTTAAATTCGCTAGTTTCATTTGGCATTAATGGATTGCACATGTCAATATTTTATACTCGCGCGGATATAAGTATTTAATTAAATTGTTAACACCACAAAGCGAAGCTTGTTGCTTGTGCCGCTTCGCGAGGTTTGTTTTTCATTCGCAAAAACGAGATGCTAAAATATTCCAAATTGCAGCAAGATTGCATTTTGAAATCGCTTTTTATCTTAATGACAAACGTATTTTTATACGTGACATTTCAGATTTGTCTCTCGCACTTCGTTTCGACCGTCGACTCTTCGACGAATCCTTTCGATGTTTACCGCAGTCTTTTAAATCTCAAACATTAAATATATTCAGTAACTGTTTCAAAGTAAATTGAAGCTCGAATAAAATCGGCTTGCAATTAAACAAATTGGGTTTCATTAGTCGTAGAAATTAACCTCCGAAGATTTCTTGCCCCTACATATCGTTTCGACGTCATTGGGCAAATTCTCATAAACGCCTGTGCATTTTCGTCGTATAAGAAATGAATACAAAATGCATAATTACGACAAGCTGCGATCGATCGCGAACACCCCGTGTACGTCGATACGAGCGACGATATCGGGCCGGCTTTCGCTCGTTCAGACGGCGAAACGAGATTATGGTCCGCGGGATGCATTAATCCCGCGATCAGTATGCGTCTAGCACTAATTGAATTAATAATGGAATTGCAGGTCGGCTGTTTCTGCCTTGTTTGGTACATTCCTGATTCAATGGCGAGACTCGTAATTATTCCGCGGGACTTTACGTAGGAGCGGCCCGACCGCCGGACACGGGCCTGGATGCCGCAGAACAATGCACGGCCACCGCCTTTCGCCAGTGGTGGTCCCCGACTGGAATACATCCCGGCACGAAGTTTCGCACACTAAATACATTATTGATTAGCGCACCATGAATTTAGCGGTCTCTCCGCCGCGCCTTGCGGCCCGGAGCACTCGTGGCATTCGCTCGCGGCGGGGTGGCCGGAGTCATTTTTGGGTCACCAAGTGCGCCTCCGCTCGCATTGTGTTCGCGTGCACACACAACGCGCGCTCCGATTTTCGAAAATGCTACCGCTCCGCCGCGGCGAGCCCGGAGTCACTTTCAAATTTATCTCGGGCTTGCATTTACAATCCATATCCGCGTCGCGGACCGTCGCGCTTCCGCGAGGACACGCCGGAAGAGTTGACTGCGAAGCATCGTAGTACACCGTTGCAAAATTTTTCGCGTTAAATTTAACCCAACGAGTAGAGTCGCCGCTGCTCCCACTCAATGTTTCGTGAATTTAAACGATGGAGTTAAAAGAAGCCATAAAATGGGCTGAATAAAAGATGTTTTTTTAGCTACAATTTGTGTTAAAATAATAACTTTTACTACGCACGATGGTTAAAAATAACAACATATTGAGTGGGAGCAGTGGCGACTACTCGTGGAGTCAAATCTGGACTCGTTGAGTCGCTACGAATTTAATGTTGTTTTTTTAGCTACAATTTCCGTTAAAATAATAACTTGTACTACACACGATGGTTAAAAATAACAGCACGTTGAGTAGAAGCGGTGGCGACAAATCTAGACTCATTAAGTCGCTACGAATTTAACAGTGCATCGAATCTTATCTTTCTGAGATGAACTTTTTGCCATTTTCTCTTACGAGGTTCCCTGTAACATACACATTTTGTTAAACTCGTCTGTCCCGGAACTGGAGCAATATTGTTTTTAAAATTACTAATCGATGCGAGCCCACGATCGTGTTCTCGCTCCGACCATCGTCGGGGGGTGATCTCCGCCAGCGGGTGTTGTTCGACGAGGAGGATGAATTACGTTCGGCATTTCGCCTTTGTTATTTTTTTCCCCCGCGCGAATTAAATCGCCCGGCGCGTGCAAGTCGGCGAGCAATCGCTCATTGAAATAAAGGATGCGTGATTTACGGAATCGAGCGCGCGCGCGGGGGGAAGGTTTTACGAGGCCCGGCGGGTTATAACGCGGAACAACGCCGGGGATTTTTCGCCGCAATTTTCCGCGAGGCCGCGGAATGCGAAACGCGGAGCCCCCTCGTGTGTGCAATGAGGAAAAGGGGGCAATGGTGCGGGGAGGGGAAGGGGTGAGGGCAAACGGGGCGCAATGCCGGAATGCATTCGTATATGCACCATTGTCGTCGCGCGATCGTAAAAAAACGATCGCGGCAGGTAAACAGCGTGAGAAATTCGAGAAATGCAGGGCGGAGCCATTTAAAACGACGCCCGAGTGCCGATACATAAAGGTAGTCCGTGTGACATTTTTTCCCCTGGCTATTTTCACGCGTGATTTATAAGAACCGGAGACCGAGATCACGTGGATGTCTCTCGCAATTTCCCTTGTACTCTTTTGCAGATCCCGCGTGAATGTTCCATCAAAGTGAGACGAAACTTAAGAATGCAATTTCGCAAACTCGTCCCGGAAGAAATCGCGCGATTACTTCGCACTGTGAGTATCAACACAGACATTTAAAACTCACTTCTCAGCTGATTTATAATTCGCATGACTTTTTAAGGCCACTTTAGACGGCGTATTTATTTATAATTTTACTTGACACGTGATA